TTTCGCGCGGCAGGGGAGCAGTACTGTCGCGTTCTGGTAGACAACACGATTTACTGGTTGCAACGTCAGCTCCAGTGCAGGAATGACAGTTAGGTAAGCACTTGAATTGGCCTCGCCTAACGTATTCGTGGCCACACAAGTATACTGTCCAGCGTTGGATTGGACCAATCTTACAATTAGCAGATTTCCATTTGGCAGAGTGCAGTACTGACTAGCGCACTGTAAATTCAGAAGAAAATTGAAAAAGTTTCCAGTGGTCAAGGTAAAAAGGTGAATAGGGACAGAATCGATGTCATGAGCGGTGAGTGGGTCATTACACCTAAGAGATTGTCTGTCATTAGTTTCAATTCATTGAATGCACACCACTTACCCGGAAAGTTTTTGAAGAGTTTTTTCTAACCCGACTGTCGACAGAGATCAATATCCACGATCCTCGATAGTTAAACAAACAAATGCACTGTTATTCTTGTTCTCTTGGTTCTCTGTATTTATTTTTCCGCATCCTTCTCTCCTGTACCGCAATCCTAGCTTTCCTTTTGATTATCGTTGTTACCTTGGCATAAGGCTTGTTCTCAAGCCAGCCAGCTATGTATACACATATGTATGCGGCTTGACAAAGCTGTGATGCGGTTAATCAATTTTACTGTACCAGTGAGTAATTACAAACGAGGAGACGAAACAGACTTTCGGAGAAAAATATCACAATGAACTGTGTTCGTATCTATCCAAAGGTGCGAAATTCCACTCACCGTGGCTGTGCCCGTTTGTGGATCCAAAGTGCTTGTGCCGGGACTTAGTTCGGTCTGTCCGAAATACCATTTGGTGGTGAGTCCCGGTGCTCCTTCCGGTTGACATTCCATCACTGCTGAACCACCAACCATACCCTCGCTTGGCATTACCGGATGCTTGGCAAATGTCGGGGCCAGCTGGACTACTCGCAGTTCAGCACAAGATGACTCACTGCCCAGGTTGTTCCAAGCCAGACAGGTGAACATCGCATTGTCCGTGAGTTGAGTCTGTCGGCAGGAAACAGAGGGCAGGTAGGTGTGTGTGGAAAAATACGGCACTGTTAGTAAACTCCGATACAGAGAATAATGCATGTATATCTAACTGTACACGAGTAAAAGATCTACTATGTAAATGAAGCTGTAATGGAACTGATCTCAGTAAGATTTTAATGGTGTTGCTAGTGGTTTGCATTCAACGAGTATAATTATTTTATGTGATGATTGGAGTAAGGAAGTACACTAGGAGCGTAATTTGCTGACCAAACGGATAGTCTCACTTTTATTGTGCGTGTTTTTTTTGGAACAAATGAATTTTCAGAATGGCTTTCCACAATCCACATTGTAAAAAGCGCTCCATATTACCTGGAGGAAGCCACTGCGTTGGGTCCACGTTGTCAAACCCCCAAACGGTGTCATTCGTGACCTGCCACAAGTTTCGATTACCTTTTTACTACACTTCTTCAGAACTCTTATTCTATCACCAAGTATCAAGCCGTTCTACGTGATCTGCGGAAACAAGTCCACTGATTTATATCCTAGCTCACTCACTTTACAGTTCCCCTCCCCGTGTGTTTGATCCAAAAGACTGATTAGTCTTTTTTTAACCAACGGCAATCGTTTGCTTGATAGTCTTTGTAATCTCTCATTTTCCGAACCATTTTGTCCAGCCAGTCAAATAAACACCGTGCGTTGTTTGTACAAAATTGGTTCCTTCAGTTTTCTTTAGTTGCGTTACAAATGAACAATTTCATTTAAAAATGGCATTTATTACACCAATATCTGTGATAAGAAAAAGATGCCATACTGGAAACCCCACTCAGAGTTTTCCCCTCAACTTGTATTCCAGTTTACAGTTTTTGACCACGCCACAAATCAACCACTGAAGATAATACCCTTAAACAAATGGATAAAACAAACGTGTGAAGTTGAAGGAGCTGAGTAAATGAAGCTTTATCACTATCTACAACACTCAGTAATCTACCATGTCGATCGTGATAACTCCAT